TTCCAAGTCAAACGAAGTGACAACGAGCTGCAAGCTTCCCAGACCGTAATCCGAGGGGTGCTTTTGTGCGTGTTTTACTTGAGGGTGCTAAGCTTTAACATTGAGACGTCAGGTCTACCAACCTATCCTGATGCCGAGGAACTAGTCATGCAACAAATGAAAGTGTTTTCGCGTACTGCTTTAGCATATCTTAAGGACAGAAATAACGATCAAGAGAAGGTTGCGAATGGAACACTATGAAAAATTGTTCAGATCTCTCTATGAACTATCATAATTCCCAGTTATTAATTCAGTGAAGCCTTAATGAGATTACGAAATAAGCAAAAGAAAGCCTCGAGTAAGCAAAAAAAAAAAAGAAAAAGACCATAGTGCTCGCAGAGTTATTATCCAGACACAAGTTTACTTTTTTTCACACTATTTAGAGAAGAAGTCAAGGAGGATAACACATGGTCAAGAGGATATTGGCGTTTTAGGCCAATTCTGAGCTAAATTCAATACTTGGTGCCTTTACGCTTCCTACACAAAATACTTCTGTAGAGTTACCAGAAAGATATGAAAGAAAATACAACAGGGAGTACTGACAATAACAATGTGTTGGTGATTTTTGAAGGCACTGCTCTGTCCATTCTTGCCAGCCCCAGCCGTAGTAACAGACGACAGGAAACATTTTTGTTTCAATACCTAAACAAATCTAAACTACGGGACCATTATTGTTGAAATTCAGTCCATAGGACTTCATCTTTTAGCTTTTTAAAATGAAAGCAAATAGCATGACATAGGTGCTTCATATTAATTAAACCTGGTTATTTCTACAGCTTGAAGTACGTGCTACTCCCCTGGATGGAAAGGGTTAACATGCCCCGGCAAAAATCGCAATCTCAGACCAAAACCTTGAAAATGCCGCCTCCAATGAAATCTCCCTTTCCTTGTCCCCCGCCCCTTTTGTATGTTTCAGATATGTTGTCAGTAGCCATGCATGTAACTTTGCATTTACAATCACTTTTTAACATTGCAAAGGAAAAAGGAAATACATGGGTGTTTCAACTATATTTTTGCTACGTCAGGATTTTGTGACGTGAAAAATGGCCAACTGCTATGCCGTCCTGAGTTGGCGGCATGCTTGAAATATGGCAAGCGTCTATAGTCAAAAGTTTCAAATTTCTGTGCAAATATACCGCATTTTACATAAAACTTATTTATGGATTGTCGCTTATCAGTATATTTGCTAAGACACGTGACATGTTTTACTCAATTTACACATAGGCATGATTAAAACATTATTGCTGTTATTGTAGTTGTCGTTAATTTTGTTAAGTCCTTGGTAGGAGAAGGCATAAAAAAAAGAGATAAAATAATTCCAATACGGTCACTAAGTATTCCCATTTTGTCCTGATAAGGCAAACTTGAGTCACGTGACTTAGATTTTATAGAACAAGTTTATCAAATGGATGTAAATGTTGAAAGCAAACTACTTGGCAAGTTCAAGAGATTAAAGAAGTACGAAGTTAAACCAAGCCTTAATACACACTAGCGGATAGAATTTCATTCATTAGTTTATTCGCTGTTTCTTTGAGCTGGTATATGCAAAATGAAAAATAATGATTTTAACACCGCTATCTTCACGTGCCAGTCCATGAGATCACCATTGTAGCACTTTGACCTGATTGGTTTAAATATAATCCGATAATCGATCAAAGGTCAAATGGAATGGTGCTGGGTGCCAGAGATTCTTTTCTTTCGGGTTTTGGCCTTTCGTGGCTTCGGCCTCCGGCCGAAAATGTGTCGATCTACGGCCGATGCTGAAACAACCTGCCGCGAGAGAGAAAAGCTTCAATCTGCAACACAGGGTATTTTAAACGAACAAACATCAAGATTAAGGAGTCATATTGGGCTATTTACAGTTGACACGTTTTGCAGGAGGGGAACAAAAATTAAGGTAAGTAGCTTAGTTTCATCCTTAATCAATTGGATGTGTCTTACTTTCTTCCCTATGGTGGGGAAAAAGCATGATTATGCTATCAATGCAACTACTTTTTTGTTGCGGCCATTCTCGGTGCCACGAAGTGGTTTAGGTAACAGAACAAGGCTGTTAAGGGGGTTTTTTAAATTAGATTCCTTTAAAAATGTCTCTGTCAGGGAGAAATGTCCACAGAGCAAACTCACATACATTTTTTTGGAGCATTTGGAGACTATCAGAACATAAGTTACCAAATTAACAATAGTCAACCGATGAAACGGAACTTGTATACTTTTCACATATCATTGCATAATAATCAATTAGTAACAGAGAAACATCATTTGCATTCTTGCCGGCGAAGTCCAAAGGGATTAATCTGAAGATTTTCTAGTTGTAAATTATATACTAGACAATTTTTTTAAATCTAAATAATTTGCGACCTTTAACTATGGGCGGAGTTACGGAAAAAGATTCATTTCTTGAAAATATTTGTACCAGTGTAATAGCGTAACAGTTACGGTGACTTTATAAAAACACTGAAGATATTAACGAATCCAGTGATTATGTCGTGAAAGACGCTGAGAAAAATATGAAGCTTATTTTACTTTCTTGGGACCTGAAAGTAAACTGTCAAAGTGCTGGGAGGTACAGTTCCTAACAATACATCCGCAAATGTCATATTTCAACACCAGAAACAAGCTTTTATTTTCAAACATTTCTCACTAAAGTTAAAAGAATAATAATATGATCGAGTTTGCAGCGACAATATCAGAGGACTGTAACCACGATAGACCTGCCTGGCGTATTCCCTCAGGCAGTTGTCGTTGAAATGTTCAGGCTCTACGTTCGGCTTCCAAAAAAAAAAAATCACGCTGAAAAGGCAAAGCAAAGCAGGCAACAATTGAACTTAAGGCAAGCTGGATGCATAAGGTCATCATAGGAAGTTACAGTATACAACAGAATATCACGCGAAGATAAGAAATATTGTCATCCTAAACGAACACAAACATAAACATTTAAGAATGTACTGAAAGTGTGGGGTTTTCGTTGCTGCGACAGCTTTCCTACGGGGCAAAGAATTCTTTTCCTAAAGTTACCTTACCATCATACGCTAGTAACAACATATGTCCTATCTCTGGGCAGACAATCTAAAAAACCCGTTAGCAGTTGTTATAATACGCTACCTTCGTGCGAAATGTTACTTTGCTTAAAGGAGCTGTGACACGAAATTGATCAAAATCGAAACAGAGGGAA